CCTGAACTAGTAAAACCCTTAAGCCCTAAACCCCCAAACCCTACACCCTAAACCCCCGAACCCTAAACCCTAAACCTAAACCCTAAACCCCCAAACCCAACACCCCAAAGGCTTTGTTTAGGCTCCGGGTTGTTCCAGGTTTCCCTTCTGCAGCGGCTAACGGTGCTACCTACTACCACAAGCCGAACTCAATATTGGTCGATGGCTGCGGGGGTTCGGCGTACCCCAAAAAGCAGGTACCTGTGGTGTGAAGAGCGCAAGTCTGTTGTTGAAGTGGTGGCCTGTTGGTAGCTCTTAGCTGGCTTAGGACGTCAGTATACTGGCTACTGGCAAGCAAAAAACGAGTCTATAGTGCGAACCTTTGTTGGAGCAGTAGTTAGGTCATTCGAGGAATCTTATAAGACCCCTCAACTTTCGACTTGCACCTGTCAAACGGAAGTGCATTCGTCCCCTCTGCAATGTCGCCGCGTCTGTTCGTGAAACGCAATGTAAAGTCAGGACCACCGGCGGACGCCTTCAGCCACGTCCTGGCTGTTCGTTGTCTCTGACTGACTTCATCATCTGTGCACCTGCGCACATGAAATGACTGGAGCGTCTCCAGTTCTACATAGAGACCATTCAGGGCATGCTCATGGAAACCTTCCACATGGGCTGTTGCAGCTTCATTGCTCAAGACTGCAGTGGCGCAGGCTGTGGTGGGACACCAGGCTGCATCGATCCACTCATACCAACCAGATACTCTCATGCCGAAGTCTGTGCCTATGCGGTATGCCAAGGCCTGGCCACTAACCTCCAAATGCCAGCGATCCGGAGCTAGGGTGTCCCGTGCCGAGCTGCGATCCGTGCATCGGCATGCTACTTCTGTGACATCTCTGCCGCCTTGCAGTTTGATCAATCTCGGGAAGCCAGGTGATCCCAAAGATGACTTATCCAGTACATACCTGCCATTCAAGCACGCATTTTCAAAGCCACAGACTCTATAGATAGGCCCTTCATCCGACGTCTCCTTCAGAATAGTTTGGTTCTCCGGCAGAATGATCCGACCGGAACTCGATCTCCACTTGCTACTCTGCGACGCGCTGCATTCCTTGCGGACTATGTCGAAGTGCACCCAGTGCGAGATTTCGTGCAACAACTGAGCCGGTTGTACCTCTGTCTGCTGTAAATAGTCGCGGATGTCAAAGGTCTCCACAGAATGCGACTTGCACTTCATGTATTCATCGGGAAGGTCCACGTGATGACAACAGCAGCCTTTCTTGCGTACACCGTTGTCCAAGTTGACCCAAATGCACAGAGGATGAGAACGAAGTCGAGTGAGAACACCAGCAGGCAAGACTCGCAGAATCTCTTGCAGGTCGTCGTGAATGACCTGAGTTGTTCTTGACAAGACAGGATCGATGTGAGTACTTCGTCATGCAAAAGCGGTAGCATTCCCAAGCCGACACAAAGCAAGAACGAAAGAAGTACACAAAAGCCACCCAGCGGCTGTCAACGCCGTGTTGTACAACTCGTTCTGCAATCGTTCGTCGGTGTACAGAACGAATCCAAGAACTTCTTGCTTCCGGTAGCGGAGCCTCAAACCCCAAACCTTAAAGCCCTATATACCCTAAATCCACATCTTACCCCCCCAAGCCCTAAACCCTAAA